CCCACTAGGGGGCTAATGTCATGGTATGTATACCATATTTTCTAAAATTTAAAAAAAAAATTCTGAAACACCCTAGTGCAAATACTTTTGAAAAGAGATTGCAGATGTATAGCTTCCTTCTTCAAAAATATTTTTATTCTTTGAAAATAAAATAGCAATAAACCAACATGACAGAGGATAGAAAAATACTATGATGTCACAAAGGAAATTATCCTTCATCTGCGAACATTAATAGAACACATGATTTAAATGATATATAAATTATCTCTCAAAGGAAGAAAAAAGGGGCTAACTGAAGTCAATATAATTTAAAATAAACAGTCTAGGCCTAGGCATTTTTGAAAGTTCTCTTATTCCAGTGAAGAACTGTCTGCTCCTAATGAATGTATCTAAAATGTATTTGGAGTTTAGGGGAAATTGTGTCAATATTCACAGTCAAAGTCACATGCTAAGTACTGGACTCAAGCTTAAGATCCCAAGAATCCCTGAAGTATTAATACTCATTTGTAAAGTTCAATGAACAGTATTTGAGGAAATTAAAACACTTAAATAGCATAAACATGTTTGGGGATGTACTGGGTAAACATTCACTGATTTCCTTCTAGCAAGTAATGGGCTCGAGCGTACAAAACTTCCAGTCTGGCTTGACTAAGCAGCATCATTCATTTACACATTAAAACAAAACGGAAACCACAGGGTTCATATTTAAGACACGTAGGAATGAGTGACTTGCTAAGAATATTCAAAGTCAGTTGTGTGAAGAACATTTTGGTATAAGGTCAGTTTGTCACATCAAATTCACAGAGGACCAAAATGAAACAACTTCCTGGGCTTGTTACTGCTTGCAACATTATGAGTAAATATAAAGACACAGTCTCTAAAAGTGCAACAAAATATATCACATCTTTTGTCTTAATCCCTGAAATATAAACAATAGTATTTGTTTAAACTACCAGGGGTAAAACTTCTGCCCCCATCAACTCGTATCCAGTTCATAAGAATTCCTACCAAATTCCCACTGTCATGTCTAGTATTATATGGTATTTGATATGGTATAATTAATTCTTTTTCTTTTGCTTGCTGAAATAGCACCAGCCTTTAGAAACTTTAATAAACAACAAGGCTGTATACTAGCTTAGTGGTTACCAATAATGTTGATATTATGTACTGTATTAACTGAATATATTAGACTAGTCCTACTGATATTATTAAAATTAAAAACTGTATGATTTCCTGTGATCGCTTTATTGCGATAACCATATTCTCTGTCCCACTATCCCAGAGCTCTCCTGTGCGTACACTTGCAGGCCTGCCACACTGACGAGTGTGGCGCCCCAGTGCAGGCACACTACAGACCGGTGTCTCCCGAAGGGTGTCCTACACTCACCCTCTGTTCATGGTAAAGTAGTTAATTTTAATGTTCTCATTGTTTACCAGAATGCACAGACAGCGAGCCTGGCTTTGCTGCTCCTGTTTCCTCTTGCTAGCCTGGTGAGCTTTTTCAGCCAATTGACTTTGCTTTGAGGCTATAAATATCTGAAAAATGTTCTGCATTTGATGCTCTTGGATTCTGCATCCATATTTAGCTGTTTGTGGCATGCCTTTGTTTAAGCTACTCTACCACCCATGCAATCAGTCAGGTGGAGATCTGAATGGTCAAAGGACAGATGGATCAACATTCAACAAACACTGACTTACTGTGAGCAAGGTACCAATCTGCTTGACACGGTGACAATGAAGGGGGTGGCAAGAGAGGAACGCAAAGATAAACAAGACAGACTCCTTGGTGTCAAAAATGTTAAAGTCTTGACAGGGCGTGGGCAAAACTAATTGTAATACTGAAATACAACAAATGAAACATTTTACAACTAAAATAAAATGAAGGCAAAGACAGAATAAATTTTTCTCTTAGCTGTGTCTCAAAGATGTGCATTTCTGTTCTAAATACAGATCCACCTATTATAAAGGCTCTGAACATACCCCCAAAAAGCTTGGCAATCATGGCAATACACACAACTCTGAGGATTATGTATGTGTGCATCTGTGTGTGTGTGTGTATACAATCAACTTGCCAAGAGCAAACTTAAAACAGTGCCTAGTCTTGGAGTTCTGTGAAGCAAACTAATGAAATATGTTTCAAAAAGTTTCTGTTAAGATTATCTTCTGGGAGGAGTATTCTTTTTGTTTGTTTGCATACTGGTTTCAGACATAAGTGTTCTGCCGAGGATGTGAACCACAGCCAGAAGCCAGCAACACTTACTACAGCTCCTTATTTTGTACCCTATCCTAAACCCACATGGCTATTCTAGGTTAGGTCTCAAAACTGAAGGAGCTAGACCTAAGCAAGACCCTCATCGGCACCTTCCTATCTTATGAAAACATTCCAGACAAATATACATCTGCCCTCAGCATTCCTTCCTTCAAGACTCAGTTCATTGACCTTTTGATAAAAGTGACCCCCAGGATCCTCTGACAATAATAATTTAAATGCATTAAGGGCTTGCCCGATGCCCTCCCCAAACAGTCAGGCTGGAAATGGTAGGCCAGTGTAGGTAAAATAATAGGGCAGGACATAGAATCAGGCAACTCTAAAGCTAAAAGGGACCACAGATACCAATTACTCCAGATTCCACATTTTACATAGAAACTTAGACCCACAGAGTTAAAATTACTTGCCCAAAGTTAGACAACCAATTTGTGGCAAAGCCAGAATGAAAAACCAAGTTCTCAACCCCCTGTTTTATACTCCAGACTAGGTTTCCCAGTTTCTGGATTTCTTTTTAAAAAAAAAAATCGATGACACTCATCAAAGTCTCTTTAAGTTGTGTGAAAGAATCCAGATGTTCCAAAAACAATCAGGACTTCGAACGCCCCAAACAAACAAATAAACAAGAACCCCAACATAAACTAGTGTTTTTCAGATTGATTTTCTACATTGTCATTTTTACTGCAAAGCTTGTCAAAGAGTTATACAATAACTTAAAAACTATCTAAGAAGATAGAAAAGCCAACCATTATTCAGAGAGTTCTGAAATATTTACATCAAACTAAAGACAACAAAGTAGTATCCAGGATGAGCTGCTTTAGAGGAAGGGAAGTAGCAGTTTTAAACAATAAATAAGAATAACTTCTGATTAAGCGATAGGGAAGACAGAAAAGTTACAGGACAAAAGAAAGTCTGCAACCTGATGCTGAAATGCACACTATGTGTGAGACAGGGAATATATATGTGTATATGTACGTATATTTAAGAATACATACACACATACATATACCCCGCAAATCCAGCCCTAGGAATGGACTCCAAAAACAAGCACATATTTTTATGGGTTACATGCAAATAATGATAGTTAACCTAGGTCTAGAAAACCCAGACAGAATAGTTTTGGGACTGCAATACTGAATTATGATATGTACCTATTCTTGCAGTAACAGAGCCATTACCTTCTAACTTCATATAAAAACAATATGCCAAAGAAATGTGCAAGGATAGGAAAAAGGCTAGAATGGGAAAATGCTGTCAGCACACTATGTACTCTAATTCAAGCTTATTTTCAGATTCTCATCAACCTCTGCTATAAACTGTCGCCTAAGAGGGATAGGGAGGTGGATGGGAAATCAGGCACCACAATTTTTAATCTGCTGAGAATGAACCGGGTGACTTTGCATCATCTCCCACTACTTTGCTTTAATTCTTTCAGCTAATTAGAATAACATCAAGAAACACATCAAGCAAAATACAAAGTGGTACCTATATATATCCTTAAGAATCGGTTATGGGAACTGCTGGATTTTTTTGAACTGAAAGGGCCGTTAAGAGATTATTCAATCCAATGCACTCGTTTTACAGATGAAGAAATCAGAGGTTCAAAAAGTGACCTGATGCCCCAAATCACATAGCCACTTAGTGGTGAACTGAGACAAAACTTCAACTCTCTGGACTCTTAGCTCTGTGATCTTTTTCCATAGTGATAGACTTGATGTCTTCAAATCAACAGAAATATCTAGAGAGACAAACTTCTAAGTCTTGGTCGCTCCTGAATAGAAAACACACACCCTGTTCAGCAGTATGAAAAAAGCAAGCATGATGCACTCAGTCGCTACAGACTTAGAAGCGCATAGCTGGACATAACATCTTACCATTGTGTTCGACCCCAGGTGCTTCAAGTTTGCTGTTAGACTCAGCCACATGACTAATGCCTTCTGTGTTCATGTGAACTAAGTGATAAACATCCTGAGGTTTCAATATTTGGGGAAGCCAATGCTCAGTCCTGAATGTCAGGCTATAAATCCTCAGGCTATGAGTTTTCAAGAGCTGCAGGGTTTTAATGCTGCCACAAGGCTCACCCGAATAGGATCCCTTCATTCCGTTTTAATTAAAGAGGTGGTTACCGGGAATGCAGAAAGGGAAAGTTTCAGTGTGTTCATCACTTTTAACTTGCTGAGTAGCCACCCAGTCACTTTACAAAGAGAACCCCAAACAATAGTGCAATCCGAAACAGTCCACACCCCTTGGTCTAAGCGGTTGTCTTTGGAGAGTGAGGTTCAGAAAGAGGTTACAGATTAGGTCTTTTCCCCCCAAATACAGACTTTTGCTAAGCTTTTTCATAATATCTTGGTGTCCAGCCTCGCTTCAATCAAGAGAAGGAAATGGAATACCGTTCCCTTAACTGCATGGTGTGCTCCATCAGACCTTCTTGAGGATCGGGTGACAGTTCCCTAAGTCATCACCTGAGAATTAAGTCTGAAGGGCCCAACACTACCTTAAACTTACTGCAGGTGCCTGAACGGGTCCAAAGACCACACTGAGGCACAGCTCGCTACCCAAGGGGCTCGTCGGGAGGAACTTGTCAGAAATGCGCCCCAGAACAAAAAGGGACGTGGGACACTGACCTAGACTGGATGGGAACTGCGAGCAGGGCTGACGCTAACTAGGGAATGCATTTCAGCCCGAGCCAAGAGGAGAAACGCCGGCCTCTGCGACGGCCCGCGGTCCTTACCGTACACCCGCACCCAGCTCTGCTGCTGGCACACTGACTCCAGGAGGATCCGATCCAGCATGCCACCAGCCACGGCCCCACTGACTGGGACAACCGCGTCCAGCTCCTCCGGGGGTAGCGGCGAGTCGGACTCCAGTCCCGGGAACATCTCTGGCCAGGACAGCGCCTCCGCGGCTCCTCCGGACGACGGGGAGAGCTCCATGGTGCCCCGGAGGGACGAGGCGGCGGCGGCGGGGCGGGCGCGCGGCTCCGCGCCCTGCCTGCGGGAAGGGGAGGCGGAGAGCGCCGCGGCGGGGCAGGCACCGAGCGGCAGCCGGCGCGGACGCGGCTCACCTTCCCCGCCGCCCACTGTCCGCGGCTCCGGCGCTGCAGCCCACCTGCAGCCGGCGGGCGGGACCCAGGCCGAGAGGCGGATCCAGCGTGGCCCCGGCCGGGGGTGCGTCCGGGCTCAGGTGTGGGTCCCTCCCGGGAGAGGACGAGGAAGAACCCGGGAGGGGCGGCTCGCCCGCCAGCCCCCTCGGAGCCGCCTCCCTAAACCCCGGCCGGCGTCTCCCGCGGCTGGAGCGGGCTCGGGCTGGGGATGGAGCGGGGCCGGCAGGGCTGGGCTGGGGGCGTCGCCGCCAGGGGCCGCCCCCTCTGACCGGCTCGCGCTGCCGCTGCCGCCTTGGGGGCTCCGAGTGTCCGCTCCCTCAGCCTGAAGGCGGAGGGGGGCGGTGGCCCCGGGTTCTCGCCCTCCTGCCCTCAGCCCCCACCCCAGGAATGAGCTGGCCCGCCCCCCCCTAACTCTCAGGCCACGGCTGCCGTCGCGGCTCCGGCTCCGGCTCCGGCTCCGGCTCCGCCGCCGCCGCAGATCTCACCAGCCCGGCAGCCGCGGCGGTGGCGGCGGCAGGCGGCATCCCAGGGTGATAGGCCGGAGCAATCGAGGGCCGAGCGCCGGGCCGCGTGTGCAATCCAGTAATGAAGCGGAGGAGGAACCGCCGCCGAAGGCAGGAGAAATCGGACACCGAGTTATTCATCCGGCCAGTCCCGCCTCCTTTTCAATTACTTTCTCCGCGACCGCCCTGCCGTGCGTGGTCCGGGTCTCCCCAGCAGCTGCTTAAGCCTAAAGTGGAGGCGGCGTGGGAGGCGGAGAGGGAAAGGGGTGCGGGAAATTTAAAAAGACAGAAAAAGAGCTTCCCTTTCCCCTCTTCCCACCCTTTTCCTTTTATGCATCTATTTTGTATTTATGTATTTAAACCGATACTTCTTATTGGGTGAAGGATTGGAGGGGCTGTTTTATTTTACAGTCGCCCTGGGAGAAACGCCTTCCTTCCCGGAGAGGAAAGTTGGCAGCGCGGTCCGGGGCTGGGAGATCTGTGGGGATCGGCGCTCCGCGCCCTGTCCGCGCTGGAGCTGGCCTTGTCCTCGGTTTACAATAGCATGGTTAAGAAGTGTGGTGTGGATGGATGGACGGGCCTCGCAAGCAGAGGAATTGTTCAAAAGCCCAGTTTTAACCAAACATGTTCCTTTTTTTATTTTTGCCTTTGATCTTTGTGCAACATGTTGGCTTTTTGTCCTCTAATGAGGTCACTTGCATTTTATTTTTGGTCTATTTGTAGATTCTGTCTCCGTTGATCTTGGCTTTAATTTTATGCCCACCCAAGGCGGTATTCACTAGTTCAGGTTTAAGAGATTGCTGGTGAAATTGAAAATAACAGCTTAGTGCCTTGTACACAGTAGGTCTTCAACAGTGTTTTTTGAACATGGCTACCTGAAACGGAAAAGGAATTCCACAAGTACATGTTTTTTGGGTTGTTTTTCTTTTTTCTTTTCTTTTTCTTTTTTTACAACTTTTTGGAGGATTTTCTTTAGCATTTTTCCCTCATTTCTCCCGACTTTGCACAGAGACTGGTCTACAAGGGGACATTTTCATGTTCTGGTTCTGTGGTATTCTTGCGTGTTATTTGAGTTTATCAAGAGCTATAAGGAGCACTTGTAATTTTCTCCAGATTCTTATTTAGAGTAACAGTGTTTCTAAGCAGGAAGTGACCTTAGAGGTAATCTCACCCTACATCTTGTTTAACAGGTGAGGAAACTGAGGAACAGTCAGGTTACCTGGCAAATTAACCACCAGTGCAGGTGGATCTGCAATGTCTCAATGATAATGGTTACTTCAACTCTATTCTCTCAAGAACCTTTTGTGGTTAAGCTTGGTCATATGTGGCTTGGTGATTTATTTGGAGTAGTCATTTCCAATATCTAGACCCCTGACTTCTTACTATCTGACTCTATAGTCAGACTTCCAAGTCTAAACCATTGTATTTTTTTCAGTGCTTGAGTGGACAAGGAAAATGTTGAGGCTAGGAGATTACAGGACCCAGCATTGCACAGGGCTGGCATTTTTATTTATACTAAATTACTGTTGAAGTCATGGTAAGAGAAGTCAGAGAGCAAATGAATAATGGGCATCAGATGTACAAATCTGAGTGTCTCTTTATTAGTGGATATACAAGGAATTGATTTACCCAAGCAATTATCTCAAAGCAGCTTTAGGAGTGATATATAAAACAGGGGTTTTTGTTCCTGTTTTTAAGCTTACTCTCTCAGTGACATCAGCCATTCTTGGGCTAAAGAGAAAGCTTCTGCCAACTCCTGGTAATCAATCCTACTTTCTTCATCCAGAGTCTCCAAATCCTGGTCCCTGCTTCACATCCCTATCCTGACCCCTGACCGGCTGCAGTGGTTATCCAATTGCCTAAGTAATAGTATGTCTGGAATTTACCTGATGTTCAGAGTTTCAAAAGAAAGTAGTTTAACCACCTGAACAGTAATTCTATGAGATAAACAAAACCATTATTTTTATAACCGCCATTTAGCCAATGGAAAAAATAGAAACACAATTCTGTCAAGCAACCTACCTAAACATAGCTCGTTAGCAGACAAATTAAAACCCTAGTTTTCTAATTTTTTAATTCACTGATGGATCTGAATGCTTCAAGAATCCCCTTCACCCCTTGGTAAATAGAGTTGTTCTAACACTTGTGAAGCCGAAAGTAAATATTTTGTGTTTTTTTCAAATTATTATTGATAGAGGAACTCAAAAGTTAAAGATGTTAGCCTCAGCTGATAGACTTAAGTAATTAATGCACGTGGAAAGCTGTTATTCCAGGGAGTGGAATGCATGACCCAGGACTCCTAAATGTCCACAAGCAATTCGACCTTTGTGCCCCAGAGGGTCTGCAAGCCATGGATAGTATCTGAGCCACTGGGATCCGGGGAATTGTTGATCAACAGATAAAGAAGTACAAGGAAAATCTCCCTCTGGACTGCAACTCTTATCCAAACAACCTTTTTCCCAAACCTTTTACCTACCCTCTCTTCTCCTTATAAAAAGATTGGTCTGAAATGAGAGGTTAAGACAGTTTCCGAAGTGCAAAGGTGCCCCGCCGCCCCTCTCCCCCCAGCCTTCTGGATCCACAACCATCTGAATAAAACACGCATACAGATTCAATCCTTGTCTCTACTTATCAGTTCTGGTAGTGACAGGCAGCACAAACATCGACTTGTCTGGTTTCATTATCTCTTTAGAAAAATGTTGAAGAAAAACAAAAAAATTAAAATGATGAACCAATTTGCATTGTTGGGAGGCAGTTATAATCCTACTTGGATTTATACAGGGTATCTCCCTGGTGTAATCCCAGATCTTATTGTGCAGATAAATCCTTGCCTGATAAAGACTTCATCTACATTGTATTTGCAAACAGGCCCTTGTATGTGAACTACAATAGAGCTAAATAAAGTCTCATTTTTGCCTACACTCCCCCCTGGAGCTTTAGACACTAAGGCCTCAGAGGTGTTCTACATAATTATGATCCTTAGAATTCAACCCCAAGGATCAACCCCAAGACTCAGGGCTAGTGGGAACTAAAACCTGGGGAGAAGAAAAATAATAATAAATTCCCCAGGTAATAGTCTGTAAAAAAAAAAGAAAAAGAAAAAGAAAGAAAGAAAGAAAAAAGAAAAGAAAAAGCCTGTCTATAATCTGAGATTTCCAAAAGAAAGACAGAGGCCCTTGGATTCTTAGTACACACATTGTCATCATTAAGGAGAGATGAGGACTTGAAATCTTGGCTGTCACAGCTTGAAGACCAGGTGTGGGTCCTACATTCTCCTCTGTTTATTTGTCAGAAAGCATACACACATAAGAGTTTCCCTCATCACAAAGGCTCTTGCCTATTTTCTTACAGCCAATGGCCTCTAAGGTACCTAGACACCACCCATAAGCAGCTAATCCCCCGAGCAGTAATGCAATTTTTAAACTGTGGTTCACCAGCCTCTCCCTTTCAATATTCCCTTTCCACTTGGACACAATGACACAGCATTCTCTTGCTTGGACAAGGGTGGGCAAAAATAGGCTTACAGTTGTTTGTACGGAAAAAGACACACAGGTTATGATTACTACATGGCTTCATTAACTCAAAAAAAAAATCACGCTGCAGCTGTAAACCTCCTTTTGCCCACTGCTGTTTTCTATAACATTAACTGTGTCCAGTCCATCATAATGGAAGAACTTAGACAATTCTCAAGATCCTGTAGTGTGTCTTCCTCCCGCTTCTTTCTCCAATTCCCTGCTAATCAATTCACTTTTACAATTTCAGCTCTCGCTTGGGTGACATTGACTTTGAGAATACCCATGTCTGGCCCCATCTACAGTACTGAGGTCCAGTCAGGAGTTTGTAACGTTCAACATATCCACTAAGACATGCTGCCCGTACCGTAAGAAGGTAAACTCTTTTCCCCTTTTCCCTGCCCAAACACCCGTCCCTCCTTGACTTTCCTCACGATATTAGTGGAAGTAGACGGTTCTGTCTCGAGGTGCTTAAACATGGAGTTACCGTTGCGTCCTTCCCCCCACCCCAGCTTGCAAAGGACAACCCTGCTTCCAGTCCCACTGATGCCATCCCAGCTGTGGCCTTGTTCGCTTTCACAAGGGTGATGCATTCGTTTTTTAACTGTCCTCCTTCCCCTGAGGCCTCTCCACCTCCAGTTCGTCCTACACTCCTCTGGAGGTGAATTATCCTGAAACAGCTCCGACCAGGTCACATCCAAACTCGAAAAACAGCTCCCCGCTGCCTCCTAAGTAAAATACATACTCTACTGAAATTAAAAGGGCCTTCCAAATGTGGTCCCAAACCACCATTTCTACCCTGCTCATTGCTTGTGCTAAGCAAACCCAAATGGTTCACTGATCCCCAAACACATCCAGCACTTTCCTTGCCCTTTGCTTCGGCTTGTTTGAGAAACATCCTTTCCATCATCTCTGCGCAAAACCCATCAACCTTCGAACCCTCCCCTCACCCCACCTCACATCAAATGCCTATGCCCTTCCCCCTTCCCCCTCCCCCCTCCGCCCCCCTGCT